CAGTTCTCTGAAGCCTCTCTTCCTGGTCGAAAGCACTTTCTAGAGATGGCTCCATTTAGTAGGCCAAACACTTGTTGATACATTAATTCCCCAACAATTGCCAGTGTCCCTAATAAAGAACTTCAATGGAATAACTAAAATTTTTTAAAAAGTCATTTTTGAAAGTGTATTTAATTCTGGAAACATTGAGAAGCTTGGTCTTCTTTTTGGCAATTTAGATGAAAAGTGTTTTATTTGGGAAACTGATTTGAGCTAAGAAATGTGATCTTTTCTTTTTCTTTTTTCTTTTTGTATGTCTCCTTTCTCACCAATAGTATACTTCTTATTTATTACAGGATTTCTTCAAGCAAGAATTGACTTTCATTAGCACATTCATTGAAATTGTTCAAAATAAGCCACTTTTCTCTTATTTTTCCAAAAGAAGACATCTGAGTCACAAATTTAAGATGATGGAGTAGTTTGCACTACAGGTACCCACTCCCCTCACCTTCAGGCAAGGAGCCACACGGTTGTAGGTGAATGTTCTGTTTTCCAGACCCATCCCTGATGAATGGCTTCTGTTAACAAAGCAGCACAAGACAGGAGGTCGCTTTTATTTGGTGGCAGAGATATGATCCATTTTAAATAATTTACTTTGGGTGGCTATTCTGCTTCAAGCTAGAGAATGGATGTTAAATAATAAACGTGATCATAATTGCTTTCTGGAAAAAGGCTGGTGTGAATTCAGCCATAAAATTCACTCTGTAGCATATTAAATAAACAGCAGTAACAGAAAATATTGAAAATGGGACATGTAGTAGCTCTTATTATTGAATCAGATTCTCCCAGTGCTTAAGTGTGGTATTCATCTCGGGAAGCTGCAGCAACTCTTTTTGGAACACTGTCAAAAAGCTGTGATTAAAAAAACAAGAAACAGATGCAAAAGAGACACTGCCTATGCATGTAGTGATTAGAAATATGAAGTGATGGTCAGTATTCTCTCCTTCTAGACTTGAGGGTGTAATTGTTGTTCATATAAAACCTAACGATCAACCTTATCAGCAGTGAGTGGAAAACCTCCAACAGAACTAAAAACACTTAGACTAGAATTGTGAAGAAAAAAAGAGCAAAAGTTGTCCCAGTTAAAACTCAGCTTTGTTGATCTGCTGATTCAGGCTGGGAGGAGAAAGGAGCAGAGCCGAGGCGGACAGGGTGAGAGTCTTTGCAAGTGAAAGCAAAGGAGGTCTGTCTCAAGGTCTATTTGAAAAGCCTCCTCTGGGAGAACACAGTCAGAAAGATCAGGATGTAAAACAAAGGAAATTAGGAGGAGGAAAGGGTACAGTGAATCCCAAACTTCCAAAGAGATGTGTCTTTTCTTCCTCCCATCCTCTTCTCCTTCCTCCTTCCTTTCCTCCCTTTCTTCCTTCTTCCCTTCCCTCCTTATTTCCTTCCAACACCAACCAGTCAAGAGCATTTGCAACTCTATTTCTTAGATTCTTCCTTTTCAGGGTAAACTTACCAAACCAAATTATCAGTCTTTCAATACTTAATTGTTCTTATTGTTCTGCTTTCAACCTGTAACAATTTTCCTGTGAACTTTATGACTTAGGGAGCCAAATAGGTTCAAATAATTTAAGAAGCGAGCTCCTGGCAGTGTGGGTGAGCACCCATCCTGAGTTGTGCATATGGCAAATTTGCTCATCTCATCCTTCATGAGGAAGTCAATTGAGTATTGTGTCTGTCATCAAAAATACGTAAGAGATGACTCTGGTGTTTCCATCTCTGACCATGTCTTTCCTCGACCAGGCTTAGGACCTAAATGCAAAAGAAATTATGTCTGTCAAAACATTAATCTAATTATCTGAATTGAAAAAGTATAGTACTTAGCAAGCAAAAAAGTACAGTGCCCAGCAAGGCAAGCCATTCTTTTAATGAAATATTTGTGGGTTATGCTGACCCATTAGAATAAGTGAAAAATTTTAAATATATCTTAAATAATAAATAGCATTATCAGGACTGCTGGCCTAGAAGTTACAAAAGGATAACAGTGTATAAATGTCATTTCATCAATAAAATGGGCATTTTTCTTCCATGATTTGTAATGTTTATGTGGTTATGGGAGAGAATGTCATACTTTTCACAGAGTGTTTGAACCCTCAGAAATGATGCTGCATTCTTAACCCTGACTGGATTTCTACTGGGTTGCACCACCTTTCCCATCTTATGGTATGAACATCCTCAGAGGAGTTAAAAAAGAAAAAGATAAAATCCAACAGAATTTGTTTCCTTCTTTATGTCAAACTGTATTGATGCAAAACAGCAATACAGGCATTTTCTTCCCATACACAAGGAGATCAGTGGGAGAAATTATAGGTCATTCTACATATAGGCACTTCCTGCCACCAAGAATGACACTTCTAAGCCTATAGCCACATCTTTGCATAGATCTGATATAATGATCATGGGGAAAATTTTTCTATAGCTTAATTTAAACTATAAAATAGTTTGTGCCTTGTACTCTAAGTAGGATGAATACAAACATGCTCTGTGTGTTTGTCAACTTTCCCTTACGACAGCAAGTACCTGAGGCAGTTTTGGAGGTTCTAGTTCATGACGGGTTGGCCCTATGGCTTTTGGCCTGTACCAAGGCAGCATATCATGGTGGAAACACCTGACAGAAAAACCACTCACCTTCTTGACCAGGAAGCAAAAAAGAATGAAGAGAGGGCCAGAGTTCCACAGCCCCTTCATGTGTAGGCCCCACATCTGAAAGGTTCTACCACCTTCCAATAGTGACACCCTGAGAAACAAACCTTTAACATGTGGGCCTTTGAGGGACATTTAGGATCCATGTAGCACTCCATAAACAATTGTCAGGACCCTTTCCTCTAGGAGGAATTAGTACTACAATAACCGGATGATCCTGTGATCCCAGCTGTGCCAGAGTTCTGATCCACAGACTTGAAACATGGCTTCATTTGATTTCTGGCTCATGTGTGAGGCTGACTTTATTGAAAATTGCATATGAAAGAGATAATCGTGGAAAGCTTTTATCCCTGACTTAATAATAGGAATAATGTCTCCTAGTAATTAATATCATTGTCATTTGGCAGGGGACCAGTTAACAAAGACACTGCTCAATCTTTTTTTCTGGCATAGCTATCCAATAGTTGAAAAATGAAGAACATTTTCCAAGAGAACAAGTTGAGATTTTATAAATCTTCTCACTTGTCTAATTAAAATGTTCCACGAAATTTATTTTTAGTGTTACTTTTTTTTTTAAGCTGTTAACCTAAATCCTAACAGATCTTAAAACATATTTGACTTGAGAAGTTGAATGTTAGGCTTTATAACATAGTAAATTCATTTTTTGTCTGAGCAGAATCCAACTGATTTTATAGTAACTGACTACATATAGAAATTTCATATGCACTATTGTAATGGTGTTGGGTGATCATTTTATGCATTCTAAATTTTGTTATAACTTTCATTTTTTTCTTCAATAAAATAATACATATATGTTATATAAAAAAGAAAATATACTTAATCAAAAAAATGAAATAAAAATTACTGAGAATACCATTACCCAGTGATACCACTGTTAACATTTTTGATGGGTATCCTGCCCTTCTCTCCCCCTGTATTTATATATCACTATTAAAACTTTTTTATTTTGCTTTTTAAAGAAAAAGATCATTCTATACATATCTCTTTGTAACTTTTTTCTACTTGAAAAACATATTATGCACATTTTCATGTTATTAGATATTCTAGGACACTGTTATTGCCTGCATTGTTATCTTAATGTATCAGCTTGGTCATATATTTCTTTGCATTCACTTTAAGATATAGACCCTGTGCTTTTGTACAAATAAGACTGTTGGAATTTTTATTTTTAACACAAGGCTATTAAAGATATTGGAACCAGAACAATTTGAGCAACCGAGGAATTGGTTCATTTGGGGGGATGGATCACATTGTCAAGGCTATTAATTAACTACTCTAACTAATCTAAATGGCCTTGGATCACCTTATTTCAGAACCCAGGCAGGGCAGTGATTGAAGGTAGAATTCAGTGAGCATTTGAGGGGAAAAAAATCTTTTAGAAATGACACTGACAGGAAGTAATAGAAATATTTCTGCCTCCCAGGAATGAATAATATAAAGAGAAGATGGGTTGAATGTAAGGTCCTGAGTGACAAGTACTCTTTATTTCTAAAACTTTGAGTCACTTGAGGCTCTGACCAGTAGTCTCCATAAAGTAGTAGGCACTTACATTTTTAAAACGAAAAGTCAGCATGAAAGACAAATTCACATAATAAGAGCCAAGAACAGACTTTTTTTTTTTATAGTTTCTGAAAAGTTTAATCAAGGAATGTTGTCACTTCTGAAGAGAATTGAAGGTCAGCAGTGCTCATTCAGTGACTTGATAGGGAAATCTTCCTACAAGTGCAAGGAATGAATGCTGGGATTGGTTGGCAGAAAAAGGTGGCCACACAGCCAAGTCTTCAGGGAGGACAGCAGTGCCTAATGGAGAACAGGATGAAGGAAGAAAGAATGAAAGTGGGGGAAGAAACAAATACAGGTAGTGGCTAAATAAATAAATGCCATTAGGAAGGGCTAGAAAAGAACAAGGGTGAGCTGAGAGGCTGTTCACTCAAGGGAAAGGCAAAGACTTTCTTCCCCCGCTCTAATATTAGATACAGCATTAGCACAAAAATATTGAAGAATTCTGTTTGCAAGGCAGTTAGTTATTTCCAAAACATTTTAGGCAGATGGAGGGACAAAGTATTCCAATGCTTCATCCTCAGTTTGTTGGAATATCAAACTTTCTAGAAAGGGGGATTCTGGAGTTTCATACAGAAAGTGTAGTTCCTGCAAATAAAGTCACAGATGTACACCTGCAAACCCCTACATCTAATTGCTGATTTTCTTGTGGGGTGCTTTTCTTGCTGGTGGTGGCTGCTTTCTGTTCTCTTCCAGAGTTCTATTGGAAGGGTGCTCTCTTTTGTTTTTTATAGAATGTTGATCCAGGTGTGCCTGTATTTTTACTGTAAGTTTTTGTGGCGCTGCCTGAAGTTTGTAATGAGGAAGCTAACTGGAAGATGTGAACTGCAACGGATCTGCTACAATACCAAACCTGGAGCTTCTAGAACCATGAAGATTGGTAAGCTGAAAAAAGAAAAATGCAGAGTTGACGGGAGTGAGGACACAATGTTAATTTCATTATAGTAATTTTCAGCCTTTTGTAAAGGGTAATTTTTGAGTGACTTTTTGTTATTTTTTAACAGAAACATCACTGAGGGATTCTAAAAGTAAGGTAAGTAAAATTGTTTCCTTATTTTTCAACAACTGTGCATAGGAGGCTTATCATAAAAAGTAAAAATTTTAAGAAACAAAATTATAAATTGATTGAAAACTAATGCAAGTTAAAAAGAAAGAATCATTTGCCCATCACAAACCACTGTACTTTCTACATTTGAATTTCTAGGCAGAGTTGTGAGGCACTTATAGTTTCATTGTTGAATGAACCCTTTTTTATATATCTTCTCACATTGTGAAATATTTCTTGAATATAGGAACAATATTAACTCTCTAGGATTTCCTCACTATTCAAATGATTTAACTTTATACTAACTTTAAGGTCTCCCAGTAAAATAAAGAAGTCACTTCATTAGCCTTTATGGCACATAGTTGAGCATCCACATAAAAGAAAAAAAAAAAAAGCTTTTTTTCAAGTTGTTTGGTTATTTTATCTTAATATTTAATTTTTGCATCCTTAAGAACTTCTTCCAATGTTCTTCCCTGTTTAGTCATAGAATGCCCATTAACAGTGGGGACTTTATCGAGGGAGGAAAAGAAAATACAACATTGAAACTGATGACAATAGTAATAACAAAACAAAAGTCTTATATATTTCTGCTTTACATCAATTACCTTTTTCAGGAAAATGGCACTAACCTTATCATGAAAAGTTCAAATTTGTTAGAATTCAAGTAGGTTAAATCAGTATTTGCTTTTAGCTTACACCTTCATACAAAAGCTTGAACTAACACTTGAAGCCTTTATCCCAGTAGACCCTGTTCAAGCCATTGGCATTAACCAAAAGGGAACTGATCAAAGTGTATTTTCCAGCTGTTGCAGACTTCAGTGAGTGTTCACCCTGATGCCATTGAAAAAACTATAGACGACATCATGGAACTGAAAAAAATTAATCCCGACATAAATCCACAGTAAGAATATGTTTCGTATGTTTGAAAATTGGAACACGAATCATGTGGCCACCTGTTTGTCTCTCTTCTTCCCTCTTTCCCACTCCCCTGTCCTTCCCTCTCATCCTAAAGTAATCATCTGCAGTGTGTCAACTTTCAGATGAAAATAAAGAAAAAAAAAGGTGCCTTTTCATGTTTGTAACTGGCAGGAACTTGACAGTTCTGTTATGGTGTATGCTTAGCTTCTGAGACACAATGAATGTGAGAATGGGGCGAGGGATACTCCTGGCGTGGGACTGTGAGACAAAGGAAGCCCATTCATTGACATCCGCTCTATTCAATGCCTGTTTTACATTAACAGTAAACGTTCAAATCATAACTATACCTAAGCTGATTCTGCTAGAATATTCCTTCAGTTCCCTCATGAATATTCCTTCACAACAGGCTGATATTCTTGGAGACAGTTCCTACCTGCTCATCAAGAAGACAGGCATGTGTGGGCAGAAGAGATGGTTTTTGTATGAAGACTTCAGAACTTTATAATTTATTCCTCTCATCTTGGAAGTATTAAAATGCATTTGGCAGTGTTCGTGACATTTAAAATTAGTTTTATATTTTCCACGGGGAACAGCAATTTTTCAGTAAAATTTGGGGCTTAGGACATTGGTTAGAATAAATTTCAAATTCAGATTCATTTAGAGACAGTTTTAGGTGGGTAACAATCAAACTGTCTTTTAGATCTATGTACATGAGAACTTTAGATGTTACCTCTGAGAAAGGCTTTTAATTACCAAAGACAGGGAGCTGGAGTTGAAGGGAGTGTCAGAGCGTGCTTGGCACAGGTCCACCTCTTGTAAGGATTCTAGATACTAGCTGTCCAGGGGCTCGTCACAAAAATTCCATTTCTATCTGTTCTCCGTAGCATTCTTCTGTAGCCACTTCACCTTATTAACTGCCATTCCCTTATTCAGCCATTAAGGTTGACTTAATTGGGCAATAAATGTATTTTAAGCCTTCTGACATGTATTTTATTCCTTTGGGAAGGTGATAAAAAGGCAGTTCATTCTAAATGAGATTGAACCAAAAATTTAAGACTACAACTGGGCATAAGGGATATATTAGTCTTCTAATCATATTTACAGATTGGATTACATTGAATAGCAAGTCTTTTCTTTATCTGTCCTATGAAAGTTACATAAGTTACATTGGAAAACATTCTTTGCATCTGTTCTTTTCATGTCCTTTAGAAAAAGGAATAGGCATTAGGCATTTTTCATCATGGTTTGTCTCATTGTTTGTTTTCATATCTCAATGTGGTTTCCAGAACCTTTTCTTTTCTCCTGTACTATTATTGACAGAACCAGATATAAAAAAATTAAATATTTTTCCAAGCAAATAAAGAAATAGATGGTTAGAGTTGGGGAAAACATTTTTAAATCACAAAGATTTACTACTGTTAATCTCACTTTGTTTTAATTACGTTCTTTTTAAGTGCTGCTCACAGTAGTACTAAAAATTACTACAAAAAATCTAACTAACCTTGTTCCTGCCTCTTTCATTTTTTTTCATCCTCTTCTTTCCCTCAAAAGTAACTCTCTTCTCAGTCCTACACTGATTTTCTGAATGACTAATGCTGCTGTGCCCTTTCCTAAATTTAAATATCTTGACAGGTAATGTGTCATTGGCTAGAAGTCCCAGTGACTCTGGAGATTGAGGCAGGAGGATTGCAAGTTTAAGGCCAGCCTCAGCAATTTAGTGAGGCCATCTCAAAATTAAAAATATAAAGAGCTTGAGATAGAGTTCAGGGGTAAAGTGCCCAAGGATTTGATTTTTTTTTTTTTTTTAGTTTTTGTTAGTATGGTAATAAGTGTCATGATGAAGGCCATTTAATTGAACACATAATTTTGAGCTTAGTGTTTCTGGATTTTCTAAAATTACCCTCTATTCCTCTATATTTGAAGAAGTAGACGCTTTGCCCCAATTTTAGACTTAATTCTATGCATCTCATTTACCCCCCCCCCCCAATGATGATGATAGTGTCACCATCACTGTGATTAAAATGACCACCTCTATTATGACAAAAATGTTCAGAGTGAGTAAAGTAGGAGCAAGAATATATTGGACAGCATCAGATTAAATTACCAACATTCAGTCATTTTTGAACCACAAAAAAATACATGACTAAAGTATTTAGAAAGAGGGGTCTGGGGTTGTGGCTCAATGGTAAAGCGCTTGCCTAGCATGCATGAGGCACTGGGTTCGATCCCCAGCACCACATAAAATAAATAAATAAACAAATAAAATAAAGGTATTGTGTCCATCTGCAACTAAAAAAAATATTTAGAAAGAAATAAAAGTAAAAAAGAATTTAGAAAGAATAAATAAAGAAGTCGACCATGGTAGTGCACCCCTGTAATCCCAGCAGCTCAGGACGCAGAGGCAGGATGATCAAAAGTTCTAAACCAGCCTCAGCAATTTAGTGAGGCCCTAAGCAACTCAGTTTAGACCCTGTCTCTAAATAAAATATTAAAATAGTGTTCGGGATATGGCTCAGTTATAAAGTACCCCTGGGTTCAATCCCCAGTATCAAAAAAAAAAAAAAAAGAAAGGAAGGAAGGAAGAAAAAAGAATAAATAAATGTGAAGTATTACCCTCAGATTTTAAAATGTCACAAATGAGAACAGGCTGCATAGGATGATGGTAGTTTTATGTAAAACAGATCTTGGTGCTTAGTCAGTCACTTGTTTAATGAACTTATAATATTATGTGTCTACTTAGAAAGATCCTGTTTTACCTCCTATGTTGTAGGAAGAGGGAAAGGGTGCTCTGATGAGTGGAAGTGATGGTCCTCTGTGTGTGGCCAGATTGCTTCCTGTTTCAGTGATATGGCTCCAGGGAGCTGTTAACCAAGTAGTGTTCATTCTGAGCAGGCTCAGCAAGATGACAGGGCATCTAAAAACCATGTCCTGTGAGAGAAAATTGAAGGAATAGGGAATTGTTTTGAGTCCTGGAAATGAGATTAGAAGAAACTATTTGAAAATAAGAAGATAGAGCAGGGGAATGATAGAAATGAATCTGCTCAGAGGACAGAATTTGAACTACTTGATAATAAGCAAAGCAGATTGTGTGTTCAGACAAGAAGAGTGGTTTGAATGTGCTGGGAAATCTTGTAAAGCTGTGACTTCTCTTGTCACTGGCTCATCTGTTGGGTGTACTCCCCAGAGATGGCAGTGGTGCTAGTGTTGTTTCCTTCTGTTTCATTTTGAAATTTTCTTGCCCCAAAGCCCCTGTGGGGGGGCGCTCTCGCACTTTCTCACTCTCTTCCCCCCCTTACCTTTTCCCTCACCCTTTCATATACATCCTTCTCAAGTGATTCTTATATACTCATCTAGGGGGTCTACATGATCCCTAAGAACCTATTATTACCTACATTATCATTACCTATATTTTCTACATACTTCAAGTCACCTTCATAAAGAGTGCCCTTGTATTTAAGCCAAACTGTCATAGTGTAGCTTAAGAAAAAGCCAGAATGGGAGACAAATTTTAGCCATATTCTAAGTTACCTATGTGTGAAGTTTCAGTAAATACCGTGCTTCTATTAAATAGGTTATATTTGAACAATTTCCTGAATATTCTATTTACATGAAAAGTTCTATTATGTATATGTCATGTAAGCAAAAACCAAAGTATGTGTCTGATTTCTTCCTCACGGGTGTTTCCTCTCTTTTTGAACACCTTAGGTTGGGAATCTCTCTTCAGGCTTGCCTTCTTCAAATCGTTGGTTACAGAAACCTTATCGCAGATGTGGAAAAACTTCGCAGGGAACCTTATGATTCTGATAATCCCCAACATGAAGAAATGCTTTTGAAGGTTAGTCTTTGAATACACTTCAGCCTGTCACGTAAGTCAGCTAACGCTGGCCAAGCACCTGCTATGTGCTACGTGTTACTCTGGGCTTTGGGGATATGGGGATGAGTAAGACATGGGCACGGTGACTGGCTGGTAAGACCGAGTTCTCTTGCTGCGTCAGAGGTTGGAGGTAAATTTCCTGTCAGAAAAGTCATATGAGAAGTTGACTTTAAAGCCAGTTTACTTTGTAATCTGAGAAAGCATCAGAGGTGATTTCTGTGGCTCTCATGTTTGGCTCAAGTTTAGATTGTTTCACGTGTGTTGAAAGTCAATAGGAGAAATAACATTTATCAAAGAGTGTCCTGAGATTTTCACTTATGACTTTTAATACACATCAAACAAGATGAAGTTGATTTCTGCTTCAGCAACAGCTCTCTGGGGAAATTACCCAAGATCTTAATGCTGATTATTTATTCATGTGACTTGGAGAGTGTTCAAAGAGGAGGTAAAGGTTTATATTTGGCATATTAAAACTGTTGGAAAATAATATGGAGTAATAACTATTCCTGGCTGTCAAAGAAAACCTTAAAAATCTTAGAGAATCTCATAATGTATTGTTTTGTTATGTACTGGGGATTGAACCCAAGGCCTCAACATACTAGAAAAGCACTCTACCACTAAACTTCATCCCCCAATGGTGCATTATGAAACATTAATAAAACTTTCCCACAATACGCTGAATTTTTGCTGGGCATGGTGATGTATACCTATATATATA